TGCCATGACTTTCCTGTTTATTTACATCTTACACGTAATTACGCAGTCAATAGGCACTAATCGATTGAACACAGCCCATAATTCAGTAAGCACTCTTGTATTTTGAGTTCATCTTCCTTACATTTGTAAAGAATTCAAAAGTTGACATTGTCATGTAGTGGCCAGGCTGTTTCTCTCCTCTTAAGTGGGAAAAACCAATCATATAGTTATAAGACGGACCCCCAGTCAAGTTGAAATCTTATGCTAAAGTCAGTAAACACAAGTACTATCAGCAAAAATAAAAAAGGAACGGTGGGTGGGGGGGCGTTTCGTTTATATTGTAAATGTTTTGTGATCAGACATGTTAGGAAACTAGAAGAATTTGTTTTTCAAGAACTCTTTTTTTTTTTTTTTAACCTCAAAAGTAAATTGCTTCTTTTGCTGTTTGCCTCCAAGAATGTTTGAGCTGAAGACATTTTCAAGTTCACCAAATTCAACACATTCATTTCCATACATAAGATCAAGACCCGGAGATGTTAAGTGACTTAGGGTTGAATATGACTCTCTCTTTAAAACATTACTACTACCTTTTTTCTGCCAGAACACACAGAAGCAAGGTGTGACCAGTTTTCACAACTTAAGAAGCTTTCTGTGGGTAAATCTGAGGTTGTGTCCATCCCAGGTCCTTGCTCTAATTCCAGTGCTTTCTTCCTACTTAAAATTTAAAGATTAATTCAGCATTAACTATCTTTTTTCTCTCTCTCTACTTACCAGAAGCACTTGGCCCACAGTGTTTTATAATAGTGAATTTTAAAATCAGGAGAGTTTCAGGCCACAGTCACCCATGATCTGCCTGACCTCACAGGCATCGAGGTACATGTTGCCTACATTATAGGAACTTTGGCTTTAAACACTTTTCACATAAACTGTGTGTATTCAGGCTCATTTTCTCTTCCTTGCTGCACCCAGGGTTGCATGTGCTCTTAGACCCAGTGTGCCGGCTCTGCCCAGTGTTCCGTGTCGGCCCAGGGCCCTGGTCTTCACTGCCCCTGTGAGGAGCTGGCAGAGTCGAAGTTAGAAGGATTCAGGTTTTAAGTTTCAAGTTCTCTGGGATTGCTATTTTTGTGCCCCAAAAGCCCCAGACTTTCACTCATTTAGGAGACAAGAAAGCTTGGCTCCGTTCCTCTGTGCCAGAAGCATTTCCGTCCTAATCTGATGCTCGCAAGTAAAGGAGTGAGCTTCCTTCCCTTCCCCCTTGCCACTCAAAGGCTAGACCAGCTTCCTAGGCATCAGTAGGGACCTATGAGAAGTGCAGAATCCAGGGTCCCACCCAAAACCTACTCTGCATTTTAAGGAGATCCTCAAGGGTGTGCAGGCACATTAAAGTTTGAGAAGCACCTCTAAGGTGAGTGAATGAACCATTTCTTGGTCTCTGTGCCCTCTGTCCCCGGCTGGGTCTGTATCACATCCGCCCCACACAGACCAGGACTCCCACACAGACAAAGTGACCTGTCTGGCCCCCTCCTGCACCCAGCGGGAGCCAGCAGGGCTCTGTCCTGTGACCACTCCCAGGCCAGGTTGCCGTTGAGTTCATGTCTACCCTGATTCCTTGACTCTGCCAAGTTTTATTCTCCAAACCTTTTTATCCTTCTGTGAAATTTTCAAATGGATATTAAGTGGGGTAGAATTAGCCCAAATGGTTCAGGAATGGAAGTTTCTCCCTCAGGCTGTGTCCTCTCTCCTCAGTCATACGTCAGGGATCAGGAGGGGTTGTACAATTACTTTTGTTTATGAAACTCTACACGAATGAGACTAATTTTCTTTCCCTGAAACAAGACGAAGAAGAACTAGAAGCCCCTCCTGACCTGCTCCCCTCGGTGCCCAGCCTCACATAAGAGGTGCGTCCAGGTGGCAGGGGCCGGTGGCAGGGCTGAGTCAGCACAGGGGCCTGTCCCACGGTGCTCCCTGAACACAAGGTTATCACATTGGTGACATGGAGATGTAGCTTCAGGTTTCCAGGTGTGTCATTTACCATTTGACTGGTCCTTTAGAACGTACTTTAAATACATTATACAAAGTCTGCACTACAGAACTCTGGGACTATACAGCTCAGGCCCAGCCAACACTACTTAAACATCAAAAAGTAAAAGAACAGAAGTTAAGGATTGTGTAAGTATTGAGAGAAGGAGCGGCCTAATCTTCCTGGACTGTTTTCGAAGTCGCTTTAGTTCGTTGGCTAAAACAGGTAGAAAACCTGGAATGTGCCTCGTTGTCCTGCAGCAACCACCAGTTTCCACCGCGTCTTCTGTGGCTTTCGATTCTTCCAATAAGATGCTTTTTTTTTTTTTTTACCTCCTCAAAAAGTTCAAACTAAAAGTTTTAAACTCTGACCACAGTCATTTCTAAACATCGTCAGCATGTTCAAATTAGTAGGGAAATTGGGGATGACAGAGAAGAGAGGGGGAGGGGCAGAATCCAGAGGAAATGAAGTGTCAAGTAGTTCCAGATAAGTAATATTTTTCTAACATAAGCCTTTCATACTGGCTTTATGTCTTAAAACTTCGTCACTGCTTCCTAAGTTACATATGGAGTGCCCGGAGGAGCCATCTCGAGGGTATCTGCCTTCCTCTATTTACCCATTTTCATGCCGCCTCTTCCATGAAGAAAGTGTGAAAGGAAGACAGTGAGCTCGCTGAGGAACACATCCTAGAAGACAGACAGGTTTTCCTCAGTCACGCTGAGTTGGGAGTCGTGATTTTTATTTAGTGCTCGATACGGTACCAGAGCCATCCTGGGAAGTCAGGTCAGTAGCGGTAGAAGTTTCCGGCTTTTAGCCCGGATGCCATGGCCTGAGAAGGCGGCGATGCGGGCCGTCACGAGCTTAATGCCAGTGGGCGTTGTAGGTTAACTCGTCATTCAAAGGACATGTTCCTAAGAACAGCAAATTCAGGAGCCACAGAAAAGGTCAGTCAGGGGCTAATATTCCTAGATGTCATTTTGAAATTGGAAGTCACTTACTCATTGTTAGCGCCTCAGAACATGATCTTAGGCAAAGAAGGGATAGTAGGAATTAGATCCAGTCACCTCATGTCGTCGGTGAAGAGACAAGGCACCCGAAGAAGAGGTACAAGCTCTGTCCCCTGTCGGCCCACTGGGCCATCTCTTCCTGCTTGCTAGAGGATTGCTGTGGTCCTTGGGCACCAAACGTCTTTCATTCTTCCCCTGAACCTTCTGGTCCCCTCCGTGAACGAATTTTGGAAGCTGCAGAGGTCATCGTGAAGATGTCACACTCGCTTAGGGGAGCATCGCCGGTCGGGGGGCAGCCCTTTTTCAAGCACAGTGGTGTTGCTTCCCAGCCCAGGCGCTGCTGGCCTCTCTGCGGCCAGCGCCTTAGTGGAAGGGGGCCTGGGTCATTTCCCAGTGAGGTGAACACACAGTGGCAGGAGAGCAGACCCAGAGGCTCTGTGGGGCAATCGTTGCTCCTCTTCTGGCATTTCATTCAAAATGTAGTCAGAGCAAAAAGGAACAATCTCGCTTAATCTTCAGGAGAGGTGGTGGTTTTTTAAACTAAATTGAAGTATTATAATAGAAGCACACAATTAAAGGAAATCATTATGTAGGAATTGCCTTGGGGCTTCTCAAATCGTTCACAGGAAAATATTTTTATTAGAACAAATCCTTTTGCAGATTAATGAAATTGTCTCTAATAAAACACGGCAATGGGTGTGTTTAGAGATTTAGAGTTTCAAATGATAAGAGAAATATCAGCCAGCCCTCCCTCCACAGTTGTTATTAATGGACACTTCATTTTCTTAGTGGGAGCGCAGGTGATTTTGTAATAATACCACTTTATTTTGTAAATTAGCTATTTGACATGTCAGGTGAATACATGCTCTCTTAATATCCCTAATTATAACCAAAGATGTTAAGAAGGTCTTTAACCAGTTACTTTGGAATGCGGGTACATTCTCTGCCAGCAGCAACAGGCAGAGAGAGTTGTTGCCAGGGCTCCAAGAGAGGAATGCTACATTGTGTGGTGTATCAAGTAGAAAAACTCCCTATGGATTTATATTGGAAGATTGATAAGTGTTTCATTTTAGTGATTTTGGTTGGGGGGGTTGGGGTGGGGATAGTCAAGCTCAGAAAGCATGAATTAGTCCCATGAATGTTTAGCTATTAATACAAGTTTTCTGTACAGTAACATACTTAGGTATGATTAACTTCTTAAGATTTCGTTCTTAGTTCTCTAGAGGATTGGGGAAAGCACATTCTACAAAGAAACTTTAGTTTCTGCTCATTAAACGTGAAAAATTATGGAGCATTTAAAATTGTCTATTTCTGTGGTTAATATGGAAGTATTCTACTTTGTTTTTTTAATTAAAAAATAAGCTAATATTTAATGGGATGAACTCCATAAGCATTCTTGTTTTGGGGAGAATGTTTTCAAATATATTGGTTGGCAAAAATAAGACAACTGAAACATCTTGACTTCTAAAAAATTTTTTTTCATCTTTACTGCTAATTCTACTTGCCCATCTTTTTAGTTTTTGAAAAGTTAAGAAGTGCTCATTTCAAGTGCTATTGAGAGATGATGGGTAGTAAAGAAGTCAGTTTTGCTTCATTGCAAAGGACCTTAGAGCCTAAAGCAGATAGTGATTCTTAGGGACACAGAGGCATTTAATGAACTGGGAACCGGGTTTGGGAAAACCCTATAAGCAATGCCCACCGGCCGCGATCAGAGGCACTTCCCACCAATCGGGAGGCCTCTGGAGGAGTCCACGCGTGGGAAATGTCGGCCCCTTTCATCTCCCAAACCCCGGCCTCTGCCTGCTGCGTGCCGGGCGGGCGCGGGCTCG